GTTGTAACCCGATTGAGTCTCCAGCTAGAGACAACTGTAATATCAGTATCCCATGGTCATCATGAGATTATTCACTTTATCCGTGGAATAAGTGCTCGTTCTTTTGATGGCAGCTAGTGTTTATTAGGATGGTTTTACCTGCTCGTTGTTTAGGTACGTGTAAGATCATTTTTATGGTCAGTAAACAGTCTTCTACAACCAAGTCGATCTGCAGCAATCTCTCTCTCTTTGCGGCGGGAGACCCAAATTAGTGACATACACAAGGGTACATCTCAGTTGATTCTCAATTTATTATTGTACAAACAGAGGCTCATATACATCCTTGAGAACTGGTATGAAGTGGTTTAATCGAGGAACAGACAATTTTTTCCCCATTAGTTATCAGAACAGAAAATACAGGCGACAAAAGTATGTTTATTAAGCAAATAACGGTTCAGTATTGCAATTAAGAGCTATGTAAGCATTAATATTTTACATTGGCCACTTAAAATATTTTATGATTTAGCTCTCTCATGATTATAAATACAAAACTAACCCTATGAAAAAGTGTAAGATAATAATCAGTCCCCTTGACTGATGAAGTTAATACGCATGCGCAGGCAAACGCTCAAGCGCGTCACACACGATCCGCCTACTCTTGCATAATTGACACCCTCTCATTAGCATGTTGCGCAGAGGGAAAATAAATGTGGAACTACATTTAGAAATAAATGAGTGATCAAAGGAAAATAAATAGGATGAGTTTAGCATTTCCTTAAACATTTTCCATTTGTCCACCAATTTATTTAATTTATTTGCCTACTTTAATCACGTTTAATTATTTCTATATGTATTTAAACAAGAATTTGTGTATTTATACAGACATTTATTTATTTATTTACATATTTATTTATTTATTTGTGTATTTATTTATTTATTTATTTATTGTTTTTGCAGGTTTCGACCTCCATAATGATCGCACCTCCGACCTTTAAATCACATTGCCATAAAACGTAAATAGAAAGCATTCTGTTTATTTCACTTACTGTGTACAAATATTCTCACTCTTCACTTTTTTTTTTGTGTTTATCAGGACACTTTTAAATGAATGAAACACTTTTTTAAAAAACAAATCTTAACCTAATTGTTGTGAGAAAGTAAAATTTGCATTAAATTAGTTTTAAAGCAAGTTTAAGTGTGTTTCTGCTGTTTTTTTATCCTGACTGACAGCCTTTTTTCTGTTGCCACATTACTTTATGTAAAAAAAAAATCGTTCACCTCAAAAAAGAAAGAAAGTCATACAGCTTTAGAACAGGGGTTTTCGGTGCACCAGAGCATGTCAGGGGAGGTGTATAATTAAAAATGAATTATAGTGGTAAATTATAGTGGAAATAATCATTAAAAAAGCTAAAAGAAGTTATGTAAAGCAGTTATGCTTTTGATCCTCTGTTTGCGATTAAAAAAATTAAATCCGCTAAACTCCAAATGTTTTCAGAGTAATGAGCCAGTAAGCGAATTTCATTAGAGACGGCGGAGAGAATAGTAACACATATTTCAGTAAATTATTCATTTCAGCATTTATTTTTGCCTTTGTGTAAGCTGTGTCAAAGGGAGGCTCAATGTCTTTGACTTTAAAAACCTCTGCATTAAAACAAAACAAGGGTGAGTAAATAATGGCTGCATTTTTATTTTTGGAAGAATTACCCCCTTACGTTTACATTAACGAACTATTTTAAAAAGTATGTTATGCCTGTATTTGAACCCAAGTCTCCCAAAATGTTGCTAAAGAATAATTTATTTTTTCCATTAGGTTGGTATTCGATTTTCATGTAAGCTAAAGGTAAATTACATAAACTATCTGATGAAAAACCTGTTTTTTAAAGTCGGTATAGTGGAGGATGGGAATGACTTCAGCAAGACAGTAAAGGCAAAACATTACCGAAATTTGATAAATTGTGATGTAAACTCACATGATTTAAAATGATGCGTGATGGGGAAGTGAAATATATTCCATAAAACTATATTATATAGGTTATACATGAAGAGGAAACATTAAAAAACATGAAAAATAGTACTGTTAATATCAAAAAAGATATAATCTAAAAACATCTCTCTCTTCTGAGGTGTGGTCTGTTTGTACGATACAAGGAAACAGATCTGATAAAAGGAGTTCACAGCAAGACCCACAGAACTTTATTTATGCTAGCAGTGGTCCATAACAATTATTGATAATTGAGATAATAGTATTTGTTAAAGTCAACATTTATAGACAGTTTAAATGTTTCGGTATTTTGCCAAATGTATCGGCACGCAAAGTTTCTGTTCTTCTATGACAGAGGTTTGCTCGATAAAAGCTTTTTGCAAGTGTTATCTGAATGCAGTGGTGGACGAAGTACACAAATCAAGTACTTGAGTAAAAGTACAGATCCGTATGATAAAATATTACTCCAGTAAAAGTAAAAGTACTCCGTTTTCAATTTTACTCGAGTGAAAGTACAAAAGTACTTGATTTTTGATGTACTTAAGTACCGATAGATGAATGTTTATTTTGCAGTTTTATATAGGTTACTTTTATCATTTAACTTTATATTAGCATATATTTTTTTATAATCGTACTGCTCAAAATACCTGGGATTTTCCCAAAATAACCAATAAGGAAATAATGAATATAATAAGGAAAATATAATTAGATTTTCATAATGATTTTTTTCTTCTCAAACCTTGTCTGTGGTGTAAAAACTTGTCTACTCGGCTAGTTGATCCAGATACATAGTAACTTAGGCTATGCGTGCTGACAAACAATATAAAAACAGACATCGCATAAGGGCTAAATGCGTAGCATTTTAGTAAAACTGCTAACGTTACAGCAGTGGGGAAGATGAACGTGCATGAG